CTCACTGCCTCATCAGCAGCAGCCGAATTCTGCACGTATGTAGCATAATCTTCCTCCCAGTACCAACCATCGCATCCATTGCCCTCCCACTGAAATTGAAGCCAAAAAATATTTAGTCAAAAATATTCAAGAAAAGCAGGTCAATTAGCCATAATAATCAAATGCGTAAGAAACTCACATCGCGATCTGGGCACTTGTAGAAAACACGACCCTTGTTGGGTCCCTGTCTCTTGACTCGGTACTCCATCACAATCTTCTGCTTACACTTGCCGCAGATAATGAGAGGGAGTTCTGGCCTCAGTCGTTTCGCAACCGAACGAGAGGCCGAGGATCCGGTACCAGTTGTCTTCTACTTTCTATACTTATTTTTGCAAACTACTGTAAATTTCACATTTTCTAAAATAATATATTTAAACAAAACTAAAATTATTTATTTATCTAACTAAACCATGAAATATGTACTATGTATAATAGTAAAATACCAAACTATCAAGTGATTTTACTATTGTAAATCATCATGCGATTTTGAGCTAAAAATGACATAGAAATCACATAGCTCAAAAACATGTTTCAATAAATAACCATCCGTACTAGTTGATATTGCTTACGTGATCATCTCGGCGAGCATTTCTCCACCGGATGGCACCGTACTTGGCCAAGGAAGAGCTCTAATTCTACGAGGAAGGGAACACGGTCTTCCACGACCGTTGTCGCTCTCCCTTGTAGAATCAAAGCTCCTCCTTGACGTCCGTTACCGCTCGGTAGAGAAAATGCTCGCCGAGATGATCACGGTCCGCAAGTTCAACTAGTATGGATTTTCTACAATTTTCTAACTATTTTCTAAGTTTTTCATTTCATGGAAAAATTAGTTCTAAGATCACGTAAGCCGCCGGGGACGAGGATGGCGCGTGCTCCAGCGAGGACGAGCGAGGCGTGATTTTGATGAACTAATTTAACTTTTGTTTATCCAAACATATATGCAAATCATCATGTGATTTTGAGCTAAAAATGACATAGAAATCACATATCTCAAAAACATGTTTCAATAAATAACCATCCGTACTAGTTGACATTGCTTACGTGATCATCTCGTGAGCATTTCTCCACCGGACGGCACCGCATTTTGGCCAAGGAAGAGCTCCGATTCTACGAGGAAGGAACACGGTCTTCCACGACCGTTGCCGCTCTCCTCGTAGAATCAAAGCTCCTCCTTGACGTCCGTTACCGCTCGGCAGAGAAAATGCTCGCCAAGATGATCACGGTCCGCAAGTTCAACTAGTACGGATTTTCTACAATTTTCTAACAATTTTCTAAGTTTTTCATTTCATGGAAAAATTAATTCTAAGATCACGTAAGCAGCGGGGACAAGGATGGCGTGCGTGCTCCAAATGAGGACGAAAGCGAGGCGTGATTTTGATGAACTAATTTAACTTTTGTTTATCCAAACATATATGTAAATCATCATGTGATTTTGAGCTAAAAATGACATATAAAATCATAATAAAGTCCAACATATAAAGTTACACATGCATCTACATCGCAAAATGAGATAAGCTACTGATAAAACATAAGAGGATTAAGTTTGTTACCTCCAAAATCGAAGAGCAACACCAATGGAGGGGGAGAGAGCAAGAACAACTGCAAGCTGAAGAACAGAGGCAGTGAGTTTGAATGGAATGGCTCGGGCTCGGGGAGAAAGAAATGAGCCGTTGTATAGGCCCGCATAATTAGTCCCGGTTAGGTGGCCAAACCGGGACTAAAGATTAATATTTATTCCCAGGGTATTACCCAAACCGGGACTAAAACCTTTAGTACCGGCTGGTATTACCAACCGGGACTGGTATTACCAACCGGGACTAAAGGTCCCTGCCACGCGGACGACCATTGGGCAGGGACCTTTAGTCCCGGTTGGTATTACGAACCGGGACTAAAGGGTCCTTTAGTCCCGGCGGCAAAAAATGCCAAGACTAATGCCAAATTGGGACATCGTTCTAAAGTCTGTTCTCTAGTAGTGTTTGGAACAAAAAGGCAACTTCAACTCTTCAAATAAAGTCCATCCTATTGAACTGCGGTGTGGTTGCTTGTGTCGTTTGGAAAAAAAAGGCAACTTCAACTGTGCGCTATACCTGAATCGGCTGTTTAGCCGATATCGAGTGCTCTCACGAGCAGTTTATATCACGAGACCATTGAAGTAGAGATAAGTTAAAAGATATATTAGCCCCATGATCTTATTATTGTATTACAACCTGTATGATTCTGCCTCATGCCCCACTGATATTAGTAATAAGTTAGGGTCGTCGAATCTATTGTTGTTTCTACGGCCTGCATGATTTTGCCTCATACCCCACTGGTCATGGCGATAGATGAGATCTAACATGTTCATTAGATTTATCTTTATTAGATGGTTAAGTGGTGTTGAATTGTTTCTTTATATAAACAGAAATTCGGTTACTTGTAATTATTGGCTCGGCATAAACCGACCATCATCGATATCTTATTGCCATTGATTAATGTTTGCTTAAATGATATTTATTCTGAATGATAACCGATTCTTCTTACACAACCCCATAAGGTTTAACCGATTTAATCTTTTGAATATGCTGGAATCAACTATTTAGTCGATCTCCCCTCATATCGGCTCTCAGAGTCGCACATTCGGAACTGTCTGGCAACACCGGCATGTTCCGCCTTTAATTACTGATAAACTTTCTCTCCTTGTCAATTGCAGGGTCAAATTGACTGGCACGTCTCGGGAGGATTGCGCGGGACCGACCACCCTTGCGCTGAAGATAGGCGGATCTGCTCCATCGAGCGGACCCTTTCGGCTTGCTGCCTGTGTCCTCGGCACGGGACGAAATTCTGTGTCGACACCTGCTTTATTTTTTACTCCAATTTCCTACTTTAAAAAAAGTCATCGTGTGTGTGTCCACCAAAAGGGTCCGGTTAACGCTGATTTGAATCATATGTCAGTGAGGGCTAGCACACCTGACACTGCACATGGTCTAACACGTAGCGAGAACGCCCTAGGAACTGCTTGCCAGGCCGGTTTGACTCCTCCAGTTTTCTGTTTTTTTTTGTTTGAACTCTAAATGTGACAATCCAGATATATTTTTTGATCATCTCAGTTGTACGGTTAATACTATTGGATCTTATATTTTTCTATGGTATATTTTTGAACTCTTATATTGAACTATGTTTACTTCCTATTATGCGTGATATCAAAAGATAATTTGAGTGGCGACTTTGAAACCTCTTTTATTCCAAGACAACATAAATAGCTATTTCTTGAGAATGGTACGCGTTAGTAGTAGATAAACAATAAGAGTAGTTCTAGATTATTTAAAATTTGTATAATGGTAGTGTTGGTTAATTTCAGCAATCTTCTCTGACTAACTAAGGTAGTAATAGGCCCTGGGAATTAATATGGAGACTTTATTCTTTTTTTAATCTAAAATCAGATTCTTGAACCCACTATCTAGAGTTCACATTCTCATAATCTCTAGGAGACCTTTGATCACTCCGCTCCTTGATCCTAGAATAAAAGGAAACGAGCTCAGTTCGCATGGGTTAGGTATTGGCCGAGGTGACTGAAAACACGCATGTGGTTAACCTTGAGAAGAATAGTGGCACCAGATCCCAAGGCAATTCTGAATCTCATGTTATTCCCAAGAGATTTGCCACGGTCTCTTGGTTTAGGGCGTAGCCAGTTGCTAGCTATTTGGTGCCAACTCATCAACATAGGTTCCACTTATAAGATTTTTTATTTTGCATCTTCTCTCTCCTCAATGCGTGGAGCCCACTGTTAATTGATTCTACAATTGAGAAAGGAGAGCGGCATAGGCAAACTTGCGTGCTTGCATGGTTTCGTCCTTGGTTCTCACACTTCGAATCCTAATCAGCTAGCTATGTCGCTCACTATTGGGGACGGCCTTAATTACCGCCTCAACAATCCATCACACCAGAAACGTGCAGTGGCAGCCTTACCATCGATACACCTAGTTACTCCAATAATAGTGGCCTCGCATTTCGTTGTACCATGGCCCCCGATGGAAGGCTAGTAGAACTAGAAACGAGCTGCAGCATGAAGGGAGTGGTGGCGGTTCTTCTCTAATTAACTTAAGTTAGAGAGATACTTGTGTCACTGATGGCGACCGGTCTAATTAGAATTAGACCCACTTGCCAGTGACTGTGACACGAGTCCCTCTAATTTCAGTTAGAGGAGGCTCATATTAGACGAGGAAGTAGGGGCGACGCCTAGGTGAGTAGTCGCAAACTCGCAACTAGGATTGGGTTGATGTGAACCTTGTAGTCGCCCTCAATCATAATTCATCTTTGCAGGGGATGGAGTGGACTTGTGGAAGAATTTCTACAGGCGCCCTTGGCTCTTCAGGCTCCAAAGCGTTGTTGCTAGCTCCGTCTAGTGCTCTCCTCTTTATTATAGATGCAGTCAGTACGATCCGATCCTTTTCGATCTGCTCGGAACTACAAAGTGTAGTGTACACTGTACAGACGCAACGCAACGGTCGCAGCAGCCAGCCTTATCTTGGAAGGAATATAATCAGACAACTCCCCCCTCAGCTCAGTACCTGATCGATGACCCTTATCTCCTACAGGCCGGCCAACAAGACCATGCTGCTATTTTCTTCTTCACATGCACGTATATTCGATATGCCTGCCCAGCTGCCCCCGCCCACGCACAAGAGCAATATTGCCCTGCCTCTGCCTGCCTGCCAGCTGTGCATGCACGAGTCAACCTTGCAATGTGAACAACTGCATGCAAATCCCTTCACTGGATGCTCATCTCTAGAAAGGAAAGGAAAGGAATGATCTGCTGCTTTTCCTTGTCAAAGGCCAATATTCCTTCATGTTGTGTCAAACACGCTGCTGCCCCCTGGCAAAGTCGTCGTCGCTCCAGCCCTGCCGCCCTGGGCCTGATCTGATGACGGCTCCTTCTCCTTGTTATAAATACATGCCCAGGCATGCAATGGAGAGCACCAGCAATGCACAAGAAGCACGACGAGCAGCAGGCAGAAGGTCGAGAGGCCTCGCATGGAAGTAAGAGGCCATCTTTGATAGCCAGGAATGGTTTGCCTGTAACGTCTGACTCTGAGCGCTCCTGGTCTGACTCTGCATGCTGCCATGGCATGCAATTAGGGGGCGGTGCTTCTACAGTTCTACGGGCAAACCATTCCTGGCTGCTGAGTGCCTCTTACGCTGTCCCATGTCAGGCCTGCTCTTCTCTAGCTTTATCTTGGGGCCAACAAAGACCCAAATTATATACCGAGGTATGTTTTGGAGTTGGCTAGAGGGTTTGAAAAAGTTATAAAAACCTTAAGTTATACATGTTAGGGACGGCATGTATGTACGCTTTTCGACCGTCTCGACCATAGGATAGGAACATGATGGTGGAGTTCATTATGCATGCTTCGGCAGATTTTTTTATCAACAATATCTTGTTTAAATATTTTATGCAGATATATAAAATATGGGTCAGTCTATACATCTGGCGACAGATTTTCCAACCATAAATCTGTGAACTTTTAGACAAATCAACAGCTAACACGTCACCAACAAAAAAAACTGACAGATTTGCAATACAAAAAATCTGTCAGATTTGCAATACCCGTTTGCAATAGCACAGAGATCCAAAACCCAACAACAGTCAACCACTTCGTTCGCACAGGCTCCACACTGCCTCGCTCTGCACGCCGTACCTCCTCGTGGTGCCGCTGGGCCTCCTCGCTCTTCGGCTGCTGGCGCTCAAGAGCCTCAGCTCCTCCCACGCCCGTTCCCAGGGCCTCGGCCTCGGCATGCTCTGAACGCGGCGCGGGCACCGACGGCGGCGGCTACTACTCCATTGTGTCGGACGCCGACGAGGAGAAGGCCTCCGCCGTCCCCGACGCCGCCGCGGCTGCCGGAGCTCGGCCTGCTCGTGGTTGTGCTGACCGTGCCGAGCCGTCGGGAGCGGCGGGACATCGTACGGACAGCGACCAAGCTGTGCTGCAGCCTGCGACCAAGCGCGCGCATGACTTTCTCAACTAGCTGTGGTCGCTGGAGGAGAAGGACATGGAGCGGCGAAATCGGCGAGCGGGGGTCGCTGGCGGTGGCGGCGGAGAAGACCCGTGAATCGAGGAGCGGGATCGCGGGCACCGGCGGAGAAGGCAGGAATCGGGCGGAGGCGTCGACGGACGCGAGCGGAGGGCACGAGGCGAGCGGCGGCTGGAGGTGAAGGAGTTTTTGTTTTTGTTTTTTTCCCTGATGAGAAAGGACGCGAAGGATCTGCAGCCTGTTTAGGAGGTCGTATCGTATCATGTATTATTTACTGCTGGCTGAATTGGTGTGAGAGAAAAACACTATTTCTGGCTGAAAATTTACGATCGTTTACGAGCAAGCGAACAGGCTGCTGGTGGGGGTGGTTGGGTCCGGTGGGAGGGATGGACCGCGCGCACTGCAGGTGGAATAGTGAATGAATAGTGGCCTGACGGGAAAAACTAAAGATTTCATATAATAATAATAATAATATCGTGATTCACTGAGCAAGCTCACGGGTGGGAGCAAGGACCAAGGCCTGGCATTCAACCAGGCCATAGTCATCACTCAAGCTGCTGCAAGATCCCAGAACAGAAAGTTGCACAGTAGTTGGTGTATGATCCGGTAACTAAAATTTACGAGATGTCACGTAAGGACGTCACATGTGGTGTTCGGATAATAATAAAAAATAAATTACAGAATCCATCAGTATTCTATGAGACGAATTTATTAAGCCTAATTAATCCGTCATTAGCATATATTTACTGTATCACTACATTGTCAAATCATGGACTAATTAGGCTTAAAAAATTTGTCTCGCAAATTAGTCACAATATGTGCAATTAGTTTCGTAATTAGTCTATATTTAATACTCCATGCATATATCCAAATATCGGATGGGACAACGACTAAAATTTATAAGGAGAAACCAAACACCCCCTTAGTCATGTTTTTAAGAACCCAATCAAAAGACATGGAAAAACACAGGCTTGGTTCAACATGGTATATCTTCTAAATATGACCAGCATGCAAATTATGGTTGCACACAAAGAGATTTTAAGCAAACATATCAACAAACTACCAGAAGAACATAGGAGATATCTAGATGACAACTTACTTCTTATCAATTTCAGGGACATCAGTCTTGCCAGCTTTCTCAACAATCACCAGAAAACCATTGATGACAAAATCAGCAATCAAGCATAAAAAATGCATGGGAAAAATGCTAAACATATCTTACAGGGATTCTATCGGGGTACTTATCCCTGATCCTGGCAAATTTGGCCTGCCTTTTTTCTATAATAGTAAATAAGGTTCAGAACTCTAGTTAAGAGAAGGGGAAGATACTGCACAAAAAAGGTGAGAACAAATTGAAGCCAACACACAGATCTTGACTATAATCAACTACGTATACAAATAGGAGCAGAAGTATCCTATGAATCTTCCCGGTTAGGAGGTGCAGTAAAGAGACCCAGAACCATTGTTGCCTGATGGGAACTTCCCCCATATTGCTATCACTATCTTCATGTCGCACGACCTCTTAACATTACACCACTGAATCCCCAATCCTTTGCTTGCTAAAAAACACTAAAAAAATTAGGCACAGCCAAAGAAAAAAAATGCAACGAAAAAGCAAAATACAAAAACACACAAAACCTCACACCGACACAGAAACACACTGTTGACACAAAAATGTGGTGATGTGATCAACACATAGCAAGCCGGATGATCTGAGTGGAACGTGACCAGAGATCTATTTGGCTTTTAAGTATTAGCCGCTACTCTGTATTTTCCTTTCTTCTTAAATTCATCCCAACCAGTTTCTAGAAAATGAGGAATGAAATTTTGATTCCATCAGCTGTTGTTCCTAATACCTATTATCTTGGACTTATGGGCGATCCTGATCCATCTGATTTTATCAACCAAGAAACCAATCGAATCCCCTTCAAACAATCTGTAATAGATTTATTTTTCTGGAACACCAAAACTCCTTTTAGAAACTGGCCCAAAGTGCCTAAATGATAGAGAGATTAGTTCCGCGGGGTATCAGAAAAGAAAGCCGGACATTGGGAAATTTCTGATTTAAACCAATGCTTGACACTCTCAGTGTCTGGAATGGAGAGAAATGATTCACTTCTAATCTCTGCATCTTATTTTTGATCCAACACTTTGAATGCTTTTATTTTTTGTCACGGTCCAATGACCATTACTTTGACCGATATCTACAAGTTAACCGGCCTTAGAATAACAAGATCAATGCAACCTTATAATTTCTTAAGTGCTAGATCCAAGAAATTAGCCAAAATATCGAACTGCACAAGATGGACAAGCTATATTTTGAATCATATTAGGGATAGATCGACTGTTGATGATAGAGAACATGTAGCTTTCTTGAATATGTGGCTGGAAAAATTCTTTTATGAGTCATCCTGTGGTCCAACCTATAATCACAAATACTTAGCCGAGCGTTTAGCAACCGGTAATGAAATCTCCCTTAGAAAATATATGTTGTGATCTGCTTATCATTTGATGCACCAAGTAGCTGCCTAATTGCTGAAAAATGAACCAGTGCATACCATCAATGGCCCTTAGTGGTTGATACAATTATGCCTGAATCTGTACATGCATAAGATTGTAAGACCCAATCTCAGGAACCTGAACTTCCCTTCTTCCAACTTTACTGAAGATTATAAAGGATAAGAAGGAAGAACTCGACATTGTATGAATTATGGTAAAGATGCATTACCCATAACAATTGTTGTTGATATAGGAAACATTTTCAAGAAGTTTTACAGAGGGTTTGATGCAAACATCTTGGCTTGGCTGCCATATGATGAAGATGAAGATAATGAGCTAGTTCTGCCAGTTAAATTCCGGTTTGAATCAGGCTGTTCAGATAAAACAGTTGCTGCAATTTTCAGTTGCATCATCAAACCCTGCGTGTTGCCTGCCGAATTTCGCCATGGTCATGGCAAAGTGGCTACTGGTGCCTTTCTCCCAGATAATCTCCCAACTTATAAATTCTATAACCCCTCTTTTATGGCTCGTCAATTCGGCCTTGGTCAACTACCCCCTTGGCTATTCTTTAGGAATACTCTGAAACCAAGAGAAGATATCAGTAAAATAATGGAAGCTTTCAGAGTCTTTCAATTAGAGTCAGACCTTCCTTTTCATTGTATGCATGAATGGACAAGAGCCACCTTCTCTTCAAATCTGTTTGACTCCTGGTGACAAGAATGGCACTCTCACCTCTTCTACAACTAATTTATCCTAACTATTTAGCCCTGGACAATGACTTTACTTCTGATAATGAGGTAACTCACCACTTTCCTTTTAAAAGGATTATCAAGTTCTCCTGTCAGTTCATCTAACAATTTTTTTTGCAAGATACCGCATTTGATCCCCAAGTGTGGACAAGAAAGGGCATCTCATAAAATATTATCCACCATGCCTAGCCTCAAGAATGGGATCAATTGCACCCACTTTGAAAAAGTTGATGAAAACCCCAGCTGCCCCAACAATAGTCACATATCAGTCTTCAAAATGCAAGGCAACCCAAGGTGTAACTTAGAAAACCACCACTGAAAAAAGACTTTGCATAACAAAATCATCAATTGTTCAGGTAAATTAACTTATCTTCCCTCTTAAGATGATATTCAACTTCTAATTCAATTCTTTTCTTACAGTCATTGACTATTGCATCTTAATCTGCTTTGGGTGCCGAACTGCTGTCCTAGGCACTTAAATTAGCATCTGCATAAATCGTGACCACCTCCATAAATCGATTTTACTAGACGGTTGGATTTTGACCGCCTCCGTAAATCGTGACCGCCTCCGTAAATAAAAATGACCGCCTCCGTTAATAGCCCAGCATTTTAGGAGGCGGTTGGATTTTGTGCCCGCCTCCATTAATGTTTGGGCACCGTCTTCCAAAATCATTTGTGTAGTAGTGTTTTTTTTAAAGGAATCCTGACCCATATATGGAGAAGATCAGTATATTTGGGTTTGTCATAGTCACTAATGGTGTAAGTATGCATGTGAATGTTGTCTTTTCAAGTATTTGTTCACCTAAAATCCCTTTTAATTTGGTATATATTTTAAACCTTGAATCGCTTATATTTCAGGACTGAGGGAATAGCTATTAAGACACATTTCACGGAGAATTCAACGAAACCAATTTTGATAATATAGGTGTTGATGTATTTTTTAATCAAATAAAATCAAAGATGTCTTATTTAGAGCTAATCAAGTTAAAATGAGCTATAATATAAGACTGAGGCGACAGATTGTATTCGAGGCATGGGATCAGTTATATTCTTCAGTTAGATTAATTATATTTCAGACTAAAACTAAGGGAGCAAATTATAGACGCGTTTTGTCTAGACACGTCTGTGATCACACATCCAGACGTGGCTCAATTCGTGTCACCAGAACGGGTGTCTGCTATTTGGTTTTTTTACATAGTGAAAGTAGTAAGTAGATGGCCCGGCAGGCAGGGCATCCAAATATTATATATTGTGTGGGCAATATTGTATCCAGATCATGCCATGCAGCATCGACCCATATCTTTTTGCTGGTAGAAAACAATATGTCGGTTGGTAGCCGTCACCCGTCAGTAGAAAAACTGGATCTGGTAGCTTTCGAGACATATTTTATGGAGTTGGGAGGTGGCCTGGCAGGCACGGGATATCGAGAATATATTCAGATTATATTATATTCCGATCCAGCAGGGACAGCTAGGAGATCATTTCTTGCATCCTGTTGAAACTGAAAGCTCACGTTTGTTTGTTTGCCAAGAGCAAATCTGAAGGTTTATCGAGGTACGTTACTGTATTATTGTATGTGTAAACACAGCAGAATCGAAGCTACGACGTGTACAACCAGAGAGCCACTATTGCGTTCTACTATTAGTACAAGTTTTTTCTTTTGAAAGGTAAGGGGGATGAACTATCCCTACCTGAATTTCTTTACCACAGATTCCGACGAAAGCTGGTGATGATAATTACAAAGTTGGGTCATGAATTCAGTTACAAAGCACGGCGATCTGCAGGCAGGCATGGTTGACACATGTGAGAAAATGCATGCATAACACACCACCAGGATGCATGGCATGATCATATCGACCGGCTCTCCCACCTCGAGGCGTCGTCTGATCTCATCGACTCCGATTCAAACCTCAATCTGTGAGCGAGATATAGA